TTTAAAAGCTGCTGATCATCAATAATGGGGGACGGGGGGTTAAAATGCCACTGATCACCAATGATCGTGGGATCGTTTTGGGTTGCTTTGGGTTTATCCATGACATCTAGCTATTGCAACAATTACATTTCAGTACAATGCACTTTCATCCACCAGGAAACTTCCATCCATTAATAACGGAAGGCTTGCACTTGGCTTCAGTGGCTAAGCGGCTAAGTGCACCTTCATTTTTTTAACCACCTCAATACCTGCATGTTTCTTGATTTCCAGAAAACTGTATAAAAAAATAGGATTACCTTAGTGTGTCTACTTTCCAAAAAAGGGTAATTCCAGCAGTGTTTGTAATGTTCTGCCATTTTTATTTGATATGTTTTATAACAGAAAGTAAGGAAAACTGTTTATTTAATTATTAGCCTTATTTCCTTTACATACTGTTACAAACTGTAGTTAATAAATACTACCAAAAGAAAGTTATATGTGTCTCAAAAAAATTATAGAAACTATGGTTTGGGTACAGAGTTGCATGAATGTCAAACTATTACAGCACTGAAAATTTTCCAATGACCTAGTAATGAAGGTACTGAAGTGGTGACAAGGCATTCACCAAATAAATAGGCCTATAGTTGAAATGCAAAATTTTCTCTGCTCCATTAGGGGTATATAGGTGTGAGAGCTGAATGGGTTAAAGTAGAGCTTTTCTCAATGGGCATGTTTAGTCTTGGTCCATTTAAAAAGCTATATATTGGTTTTCTTTTTCAGCCCTTCCTTCTCTTTCTTAACCTCCCTGGCGGTATTCCAGAGTCTGGCTCGGGGTTAATTTTCAGTACCAAAAGCGGTAACCCCGAGTCACACTCTGGATTGCGCAAAAGTGTCACTTACCTTGTCCCTGCGAGCCCACGGTGTCCTCTGCTGTACGCGGCCGGCCGATACCGGCATTCAGTTTTCAGTTTCGTTTTCAGGCATCACAGTGGGGGGCGGACCCGGTGGGAAATTCAAAAGTGCAAACATGACATTTACACAGAATACATAGAATACAATGTAATCTGCTATAATTACATATATGTATCAAACTATTTCACTTCAATTTTGTCCCTAGAGCTTTGTCCAGTGCCCTGCCTGCACTTTTACTGTTGTTTCCGCCATGAAATTTGAGAACGTCCATGGCATCCAAAAAGCGTCCCTTTAGGTCAAAAGCGGTTTTAGACCAGGTAGAAACCAGCGATAGTAAATTAGAATCACTTGCAGAATTGAGTGATAGCTATTCGTTGGGAAATTCGTCATCAGACACTGAAAGTGACGACAGCGACGATGCTGCGACCGAGCTCAGTGATGTGCAAACTTGGTACTCTATTGTGGTACGGATCAGGCAGCGCCCCCAGAATTCCAACTTACTGGAACATTCTTTTTGTTATTATATTTTGTTATAGTGATTTATTATATTATAATGTCTTATAATGATTTATTATCATACCCGGGATGTCTACTGGACTCTTGTTTGGACAGATTTAGGTGAGTTATTCCTAAGATTTACTAAGAATTACAGGCCTACAATATAAAACAACAAATTGCCATGAAAAACAATGTACCACTTTGGCATGCTAAAATCCTGCATAATCATACCGCCAGGGAGGTTAAGGTGCCCATACACCTTACAAAAATTGTCCGAATTTCGTTTGCCATAGCGTTTTTGTCCGATATTCGTAAGGTTGATGGGCAGTGTACAACCACAAATACTGTACAATCATACGACTTTTGTCTTTCCAACAGGTTATAAAACGTCTGTCAAATCGTACGATTTTCGTAAGGTTGGTGGCGTTTCCGTACGTCAAAATTTGTACAATTAATACTGCTCATGCGCAAACTAAAATCCGTGTGGTCGATTAACAAAATGTGTCTAGGTGATTTCTGCTAAAGGCCGCTAATTGAACTGTGCGATGGTCAGGGCAGGATGGGGCCGCCGTACGAAAATCGTACAACAGAAAATTGCAAGGTGTATGGGCACCTTTACAGCTTACTAAAATGTGCTGGAACAAACAAGGCAGTGCTGTAGAATGTGGGCTCAACCTTTCTAATTTTTGCACAAATAAAACTTTCACAAATTGTCTCCATCTTTTCAGATAGGTCAGCATGAATTTTATTAATTCAGGCTATAGTGTGGTAAACTGATTGTAGGAATATAAGCGAAAAAAGACATTGATATCAATGTATAGAGCAATCAATCAGCTTCTAGATTTCTAAACTTAACTGAACAAGCTGAAGACCAGAGCTGATTGGTTACTATAGGCAGCTGCTCCAGATTATGTCTGCTCCAATATTAGCAAATTTCCTCCTGTATGTTTCTTCTGCAGTAAAAGTCCTTCCTGCTCCCACGGTTTTCAAATCGGGGCTTTGATTTCAAAGACAATTCGCACATAGCGACCACAGAAAAAGAAAAAAAACACTGTCCACTCTAGCTATGTTTACAAGTAAATTTTATAACTAAATAGCAGTAAGAAAAAAATATTGTTAGCATACATAGGAAAATATAGTTTAATTAAGCCTCAAGGGTTTAGTGGGCTTCCATGAATGGGTTCTCAAGAATTAACTTATATATGGTAGCATGCTGGTGACCTAGATTAGTGCTTCTTTCCTTGCATGGTTAATTTGCTGACACAGAGCCAGTTTGGGTCCCATTAAATACCTATTTTGCTTTGACCATCAACTATTATTAACTAATATCATTATGTTTATTTTGAGAAATAGCTGAGTTAAGTGAAGCTTAATGAACATTTCATGACATGGGCATGGTGTAGGAAAGCAATGTCTTCTATCAACATGGTGGCAAACAAACATGCCTTGAGATGTATTCCCTCCAGCTATGTGTACTTGGAAATTATTTAAAAATGCTACGGCTATTTTATTGGATGGTTGTTTGGGTAGATCAAAGGTGTGACACTGCAGTAATTAGTAATTATTTTACATTTGCAGTATCCAGGCGGGTCTTAACATGTCAATAAATGTATGAAGGAAAAAATACATTTATTTTAGACATTTTTCCTAACACAAACTGGGTTCCAGATTTATTTATCAAAGTCACGTGTTAAAGAATATGTGCTGCAAATGTCATCAATGTATAACAAAACTAGACCTACAGTATTTGAAATTGTAGGTGCCTTTTGGAATGTATTCAGTAATATACTGCTTGCCTTCTCTGCATCATACCTGTAAAGACTGTCTGAATGTTTTAGAGCACCAACAGACTACACTAAACACATTAGAAAAAAAATATTTTACATATATGTTACTTGATCCAACAGGACATGTATTGAAATTGTAGAAGGAGAGAAGTAGATTATTATCAAAGCAAATTGGATAGAAGGGGAAATCCTCCGCACACCTTGCAGCAATGAAGGCCTATGAAGACAATGGTGCTTGTAGTGATGAACGCGGATGGCACCGTGCAGACACAATATAGAAAAAGGAATCACCAGCACTCAGTAGAATAATCCAACATGTCCATTTATTGGACATAGACGTTACACAATCACAAGAGCCAACGTTTCGAGACCACGCAGGCTCTCTTCATCAGGGCATAAAGAGTGACAATACACTGACATTTGATAACCACATATATACCTCATGAGGCTAACCAATAATCAGGTGTTGCTTCTGATTATTGGTTAGCCTCATGAGGTATATATGGTATATATGTGGTTATCAAATGTCAGCGTATTGTCATTCTTTATGCCCTGATGAAGAGACCCTGCGTGGTCTCGAAACGTTGGCTCTTGTGATTGTGTGACGTCTATGTCCAATAAATGGATGGAGTGCTTTTGATTCCTTTTCCTATTATCAAAGCAAGACATTTACACCTGCACCAGAAAAATTACCACTAAAAATGGATTCTGAATGTTTTATTTGATATTTGAATGCAGAGAATAGAATTCAGCTAATTTGGATTTATTTTAGCCTGTTTAGAGTAGGCTAAGTAAAATCTCATGACACGGACCTGTGACAGCTGATCAATTTTCTTTTTTTAGGTATTTGTTTATTTACACAGTTTACATTTTTACTTTCTGATCAATACCATAAATCCAACGCTGCATTTTGAGTTGAATCCATGACAAGATGAGCCTGGCAGTTTACGAGCTAGAGGGCTGTGCTACGAAAGTATGCAAATCTTTCACAACATGTTAGGTTCCTGAGGTACACATGCAACTAATTTCATGATGAATACCCATTACAGCTGATAGCACTAAAACGTAAGGCTTAGTAGGTAATCGGAAGCAGAGGTCTTTAGCTGTGTAAAGAGAAAACATATGGATTTCATAGAACTACTTAGAAGCCTCTTTACCGTGGAAAATAAATTATTGCTAATTACCAAGACTCATGCTAGCCTTTAGTGCTGCTTAGGTTGTATAGTATTGCTATATTGATGTCACTTATTGTACTGGCCAAAAAAGCTCTGTGCTATGATCCAAAAATCATAACAGGTGATTTGTGTAATTTGCCTTTCTTGTAGTTACGCCCAAGGACAGAGCTTGACCAAGAAGTTCTGAATGAATGTCTCACGATTCAACCTCTTCAACCAGCCATTTCTCCACAAGATCCTACAGAGAATTCAATGGGAAAGTCACCTGGCCCTGTACATGATGTATACCCAGGTATAATTCACATAATACTGGTATATGACTATAACCATGACATGTTATTCCTTCCCTGTATGTTCTTAACCAACAAAAGGAACTTTTGGGCATCCTTGTCTTTGGCATTATCATGCGTGAATGTCCACTTGCCTAGATTCACCTGACATTACACACTTGAATCTGATTTCTAGGAAGATATAAAAACACCAATGAATGCAATTATACATTAATTAAAAACAAATATTTACATTTTAATTAAAGTACTTGAATTTGCCTTGATTTTAGCTCCTTGTAATCTCATCTGGTCATCTGTTATAATAGTATTCAGACTGGGAGAGGAAGGTGCAGCACCCCCAGACATGGCCCCTTTGTGTGTTAATCACACGATCCTATGTGAATAACACATGTTACCGCACATTTGTTACAGTCATTTGAATGGCACCTGTAACGCACCTCCAGGCCACAATGAGTTTGATCACAACACAACGCATGGTACCGCAATACCACTGCCTTGGGAGGAAATAATATTAATTATCAAGTGGTTTTTTTTAAAATAACCTCCAGGCAGCAATAAAAACCCCGTCTTCCCTGCAGCAATAATAATGTGGGAGAATTGTAAATTATCAAGAGTTCTTAAAAAATAATCCCCCGGCAGCAATAATAATCGCCCCCCCCCCTTCCCCACAGCAATAATACATTATCCTTGGGGTAGATTAATACAGCTGCCTGGCCAGAGATTACTATTAATTATTCTAAAAATTCAGTATGACTTTTTACTGTCTTTCATCTCACCTGTTCCAGCTCACCAGCTTCTCCCCCTCTTGATATCACTCTGCACGCTGAGGCGGATTGATATCCTCAGCACAGAGATGATCCTATGCAGACCGGCACTAAGAGTTAATTGTCGGCTGCCGCAGCTCTCTGTATTCCTCCGTGGCAGCCGAAAGTGGTAAAATAGTCCCCTCTTTTCTGCTGTCAGTTCAGCGGGGGATCCGGGGAGAGAGGAGACTATATCAATATTAATTGGACTGGGACCGACTGCTGCTGTTGCTTGGTTACTGGGGTGGGCTCTCCTCCTTGGTGCCCCCCGCCCCAAAGTGGTGGAACACTAGGGCCCGGTCGTACACGTGACTGCTGTGAGTAGGGGGCAATAGAAGTAGGAGGCAATCAGTTGTAATGCAGTTTACAAAAAATCACAAAGGACATGCTAACAAGAGGAGAGAGATGAGCTTATCAGTCTGCTGCTTATCCTTCACTGTACAGTCACAGGCTGGGGGGAAGGAGGTGATCAGGCTATATTACTCAAAGATGAACTCCAGAATTTATTAAATTAACCCTTGCAGTGGGGCTACCCCCACACTGCAAGGGTTAAGTGTTCATTTTTGTCTAGGGACAAAAAGAAAGAAGATATATTCACCTGATCCACGGTCCCATCTGGCTTCTAGGCCTGTCCCCACAGCCTCTTATTACCTGGGCTCTGGTGCTCTAAGGACCACATCACACAGGCGTCACCACATCTAATGCAGGTCTGTTAGACTTGAAAATCCTGAGGTACATACCACAGTCACTGCCGCAGGACCGAGGATTGGGTGAATATATCTTCTTTATTTTCCCCTGTAGACCAAAATGAGCTCTTAACCTTTGCAGTGTGGGGGTAGCCCCACTGCAAGGGTTAATTTTAATAAATCCTGGAGTTTTTCCTTAATTTCAGTAACAAAAAATCAGGTCATAGCCTTACCGACAGAGCTGCGTGTTTCTCAGGACAGAATGGACAGAAATACAAAGCCTTTGACAGATAGATCACCTACCAAACCACCTGCATTTCAAAGTGTTTGCCTGAAGTGTAGCATAAATGTATTACCACAGTTATATTATATTCCATATGCATTGTATTTTGTTTAGCATTTCTATAAGAATGATATACAGTATGGCTTAAAATAGCTGCTTAAATGTTGAGTAAAAAATAAGTGCATGATCAAAAAATGGGGAGGGGGGTTTCAAGCAGGTTAAAGGAACCCCCTCACGAGAGGTCCTATCAAAGCTACTATTACAGCAATAAAGAGGAGGTCTAGGTGGTAGTTGAAATCTAACCACTAAGGTTCCACTCCACTTATTAACATCCAAGTCCATACATTAAATATCAGTCAGGGTTCTAATTCTAATTCTGTTGTCATCTGTCATCTGTTTATAAACACTTCAGTAAAATGCACACCACAGCACTCAGCAGACTCACAATTATATTCTCCACCAACAATCGTTTGCAGGCTGCCGTCATCAAAAGGCCACTGGGAAGTATTCCTCACAAAACATGCAAAACAAACAAACGGCGCCTTGTCCTCATGTAATACCGTTTATTAATCAATGAACATACAAGCTGACATAAAATATTACTCACATGGTAATCACAAAGCTGCCTTGCTAGCTGACGCGTTTCGGGGAATATACCCCTTCCTCATCTCTGAGGAAGAAGGTATATTCCCCAAAACATGACAGCTAGCAAGGCAGCTTTGTGTGGGGTCTGCCTTGTACCATTAATTCAGTGATTACCATGTGAGGAGTTTTTTATGTCAGCTTGTATGTTCATTAATTAATAAACAGTATTACACGAGGACAAGGCGCTGCCTGTTTGTTTGTTTTGCATGTTTATAAACACTGTTTAAACACAAAAAAAGAGTTACAAACTGATACTGCTACTTCCCTAATCATCCACTAAGGAACACAGGGTCAGAAGAATTCTGAGACAACTGGGTTATACTGCTGCCTACAAGAGATTGGAAACTGGCAAACAAAAGCTGCCTGGTATACCCATCACGCTCTCATCATGCTTTATTTGTAGGCTCTCCCTGAGAGAAGAAAACCCTTTCCACTAGACTTTATTCAGCTTTCTTTAAGATCCTTTGTCTTCACTCAAGCTGCTTCATTTATTTTAGAGCTCAGTATAGCCTTGGAGGCTCTACCAGCTAACCTTTATTGTGACCTTTAAGCACTGGGCTCTGCTAGGGGCATTCTACAGACACCTGATACATTGTGTAAGTTAGCCACAGAGCACAGGTCCGGGGCTGTTGTACACGTGTTGATGGGACCCTGTTCCTGAAGACTCCATGGTAAGTATACTCACTGGTGGGGCAAAGCCTGTCTGGATGGGACATATTCTTGGGTCCTGCATTGGCACTCTTGAGTGCTAACTATGTTTGGGGAGCACAGGGCTTAGCCCTTCTGTCACCCCCTCAAGGGTTAATGCTCACAGCCCTGGCCGCAACACTTCATGTGTAGTAGGGCCTTGGTAGGAATTAGGCATTGCACCTTCTTTTTTGAATTGTGACACTAGCACCTACCTTACGGAGCCTGCGTAGATCCTTCATTGTGTCGCTTCATTGTATCTGTAATGCTCAGGCTTCTATGATGCATGTGCACACCTTCACAACCCTTCCAGCCTTCTCCGTGAAGCCTGCACTTATGCCACTGTGCTCCTCGGCAAGGGGTCAGCCACGATCTCCCTGCTGCTGCCTTACGGCAATGAGGTCAAGGATAGCCATAGAACCTACTCTGCACCTGCAGTTGGTCTGTAGGTACCCCCTTGCAAGAACCTGCAGACTTACATACTTGCAGTATGTTGTATCATAGGTGCATCGTATGTCATGTCCATCTGTCAGACACTAAGAGTGTCTATCTCAGATCTGACACTATCTGTATGTATGCATGGGGTCATTTAGCTGAAATGGTGGTCTGCGGAACATTAGTGCAAATGTCTATTGCGCATGCACTTTGATGGCGTGTGTGTCTTTGGTGCCTCTCTGGACAACTCTAATAAGGACATCACTGGAGGGAAGAGCACCATTTCGCCCTATCAAAACAAGGCTACACCACAGTCTGGAAAACATTCTTCCTCTGAAGCTAGAGATTTTTCCCAGTCCTTTAGGTCCAAGTCAAAGTCTGTAACTCAGTTCAACCATAAGCCTTAGGCTACCAAATCCCCAAGCCTGCAAGCAAGTCCTACTCACGTTGAAGGGTTGCCCCCACTTCTCAAAGTTAAATTAGCCTTTGCTTCCACCTTGGATGAACACACCTCCACCTTGCTTCCACCTGGTCTGAACACATCTCAAATCCTTCCAACATCCCCACAAAAACTAGCAGACCTCCATATTGCCTTGGCCAGACTTACATCTGGGAATCATAGCTATGGTTCTGGAAAAATAAATAGTTCAGGGTTTTTACTTATACCTATTTACTGTCCCCAAAGCAATAGGGAGCATTCACTTCATTTTGGATCTAAAGGCACTGAATGTCATGCCGAATAAAAAATCTGCATGGAACCTATCATCTCAGCCATTGTTTCCCTCCTTTGGAACCCTGACCTTTGTGGACATCAAACGTGCCTACTTGCATACTTCGCCTCTGATATTGACTAAGGTGATTGCCCCTGTACTTGCTCTACTTCATCGCAAAGTGTCCCCATAGTAGACAAAGTATCCCCATAGTAGAATACCTGAACAACCTATTCCTGAGGGAATAGTAAGCACAAGCCTTGTCTGCCAATATCCACCAAACTTTTCCTACACTAAAGTGCTTTGGTTGGGTACTAAATCTTCAGAAATCGGTTCTGGAACCAACTCATTGCTTGAAGTTTCTAGGTCTCCTTCTACATACCGCTCAGTCCAGGGGTTTTCCTGTGAAAACAAGACAAACTCCTGACTCCTGAAATCCTTCCTTCTCTCTTCTCCTTCTAATTTTCTGGAAGATTTGCTTGATGAATGTCAGGCTGACAGGCTGGGAAGGAGTCCTGGACACCTTAATGGTGCAGGGACTTGGTCCCTGGAGAAAGCTTGTCTCGCAATTAACATACTGGAATGCAAAGGGATTGGGTTTTAAAATTTGTTTCTATTTCAAACCTTTAAAAAGCTAGTTCAGTTCCCCATCAGGTCCATCAGCAGAGGGGGGGTACAATGCTAGTTTACTATTGGCTATTGCAAATTGAAATAGCCAATAGTAATGTCCCAATGCTTTTCAATGGGATTTTT